AACCGTTTCCTGGAGGAAGGAGACGCCAACAAACGTTTCTTCCATCTACAAGCTTGTCACCGGCGACGCAAAAACCAGCTGCCGACCCTGTCGCACAATGGAGTCACGTTCAGCGCTGAGGAAGCCAAAGCGGACCTGGTGTTCTCGTACTACAACGAGATCCTCGGCAAAAGCTTCAGTCGCAGTCACCGAATTGATCTCAATCGGCTAAGCCTGCCATCACTGGATCTCAGTGATCAGATCGCTGCGTTCTCGACGGACGAGGTCACCAGGATCGTCCGAGAAACGCCGTCTGACCGTTCGCCGGGGCCCGACGGTTTTAACGGGTGCTTCTACAAGGCCGCCTGGGAAGTGCTCAAAACGGACATTCTGGAGGTCTTCCATTCTCTGTGGCGCCTGGACTCACGGAGCTTTCGTCTCTTGAATGAAGCTGACATGGTTCTGCTAAGGAAGAACGAGGCTCCGTCAGGGCTACGTGATTACAGACCGATTAGCTTGATACACAGCATCGGGAAATTATTCTCCAAGGGCCTGGCTATGCGGCTGGCTCCAAGGATGAAGGATCTCGTCAGGAACAACCAAATGGCCTTCATCAAGGGGCGCAGGATCCACGAACTTCAGATCGGTGCAGTTGGCATGCCGCTGGCTGAACGCTAGGCGCTGCCCGTCCATGCTCCTCAAGGTTGATCTCGCAAAGGCCTTCGATTCTGTCGCTTGGCCATTCCTGCTCGAGGTTCTCCAGCGTGTTGGCTTCCCGCAACGGTGGCGTGACTGGATTTCGATCATCCTGTCTACTGCAAGCACCAAGGTAGCCGTCAATGGAAGGCCTGGAAGGCGCATTTGCCATGCGCGGGGCCTACGGCAAGGAGACCCTCTGTCGCCGCTATTGTTCGTCATCATAATGGAGGTCCTCAACGCGCTGATCGCTGAAGCGGACGCACAGCATATGCTCACTCCGCTGCCTGGCAATGCTATCAAATACCGGGCGTCGATATACGCTGATGACCTCGTCATTTTCCTCAGGCCACACCCGGAAGACTTCATCTGCATTCGACAACTCCTGGAGCTATTCGCGGGGGCCTCAGGCCTCAATACCAATGTGGACAAGTGTCTGATCACCCCCATCCGGTGCACTGACGAGGAGATCGCAGCAGTGCAGCTTGTGTTTCCCTGCCAGGTCGCGCCGTTCCCCTGCAGGTACCTGGGCGCGCCTCTGTCCCTCAGCAGGCTAGGGCGTTCGGAGGAGCAGCGTCTAGTGGACGCCGTCCCTAGTCGCATCCCAACTTGGAAAGCCGGTCTCCTCAACAACGCCGGCAGGTTAACACTGACGAAGTCGACCCTGTCCGCCATTCCAGTCCATGTCTCCATCTGCTGTTGCCTCTCTGCTTGGACGCTCCAGCAGATTGACTCACGCCGCCGCGCTTTCCTCTGGACCGGCACTGATAAGACGACAGGAGGGAAATGCCGTGTGGCTTGGCGCATCGCTTGCTCTCCCAAGGACCTTGGTGGCCTCGGTGTGCCGGACTTGCGCGTCATGGGCTTCGCCCTTAGACTACGCTGGGAGTGGCTCTCGCGAACGTGCCCCGACGCAGCATGGACCCGTTTACCGTCGAAGCCGGAGCCCATCATCGCTGCCATGTTCCGGGCGTCCGTCTACGTTCGGCTGGGTGATGGCGCCAATACACGCTTCTGGACGGACTGCTGGCTGCCGCAAGGGGCGATCTGCAACTTTGCCCCCACATCTGTACCGGACTATCAGCCGCCACCGTCGACGAGCCACCGAGCAGGAATGCTTGCATAACCGTCGCTGGGAGAGGGACATCACGGGCGCGCCCACCGCCCCGGTCCTCTGTGACTACGTACGAGTTTGGGAGGCGGTGGAAGGCATCCAGTTGAACCAGCTTGAGGCAGACCGCTTTGTCTGGCGTTGGACGGCGAACGGAGAGTACTCGGCCTCCTCGGCATACCGCTCGTTCTTCATTGGCATGACATCATTGACGGGTGCCAAAGAGGTATGGGGAGCAGCCGTTCCACCCAAGGTCAAATTTTTCTTCTGGCTCGCTCTCCATGGCAGGCTGTGGACAGCAGAGCGAAGGCACCGCCATGGCCTTCAGGTTCAGGCAAACTGCGCGCTGTGCGACCAGGCTGACGAGAGCTCAGACCATCTCCTCGCCTCTTGTGTCTTCAGCCGAGAGGTCTGGTTCCGGCTGTTGCGTCTCGCAGGGTTACAGAACCTCGCACCGGGATCCGATGCGGTCCTTGTGGACTGGTGGCTGCGAACCCGCCTGGAGGTACCGAGCCAATTCAGACGGGGTTTCGACTCCATGGTTCTGCTCGTCGCGTGGGAGGTCTGGAAGGAGCGCAATCGCTGGACTTTCCAGGGTGATCGTCTATCTCCACCGCAGCTCGTCCAGCGAATCATCGACGAGGCCGCAGCATGGATGGGGGCGGGCTTCCAGGCAATGTCGCCGTTCTTAGCGCGTGGTGATAAGAATCATCGACGAGGTCCCTTGTTTCCGCTGGTCGCAAAACTGTTGTCTGTATAAGAGCATGTCCGAGTTCCCTAAACATCTTTTAATCCTTGTTTATTTGAAAGACGGAGAAAAACTCCTCTCCAACAACTCTTAATATTTTAGGACTTGGAAATTCCTCTCCTTCTGTGTAACTTTACGTGGACGAAGCCACGCGCGGAGACGCCGTTCCCGCGCGTCGTCCTTCTTCCCGCGCCATATTTTGCCACGAGGACCACCTCGGCCTCGCCGTTCCTGCTATCCGGCTTCGCGCATTACGGGCCGCTGCACCACGGCGCGACGAGCCTGGTACAGCTCCTGGAAGGCGGCGGCGGCGGCGGGGGGCTCCCGGACATGTCCAACAAGCAATAGCAGCAGCCCGTGCCGGGGCTACTGATCGAGCCGCACATCATCACGTCATTGCTAGCGATTAGTATAGCACTGCTGTAAATAAGCACATCTACTACATCTGTGTGAGGTAGATCGATCATCGATCGCAGCATGCATCGAGCTACGTACCTCCATCGCTCGCCACCAGGGACTCGCCGCTCCATCGCTCGCCACCAAGAAGAGGATCGACGCCGCCGCGGACGTGGGCTTGCTGCGCCGCCGCCACCACCTTGGCCGGCCGTCGCCGTCGTAGGCTGGGAGGTGGTGTCGTGCTTGCTTTCTTGTTCGATCGCCCCGCCGCCGGGCAGCCGCCCATTTGATATCAGGGTTGCATCAACATCCATCCATCTATCTAATCGATCTATAGTGTATCCTATATCGATCCCTGTATACATCAAAGTTACGCACTTGGGAAATACTTGATGGCCGGCTGATGGCTACCTGCTGCTGCTACTTGATGGCCGGCAACCTGCTGATGCCTAGCTGCTGCGTACTGCTGCATGGTACTGTATGCATGCGTGGTACTGAACCACTACAAGTGCTGGGAGGAGACCACGGCCGGCTAGGAGGAGCAGGCCACCGGCTGGGACGAGCAGAGCTAGGGCAACGCGAAGGAAGATGGTGGCGGCGGCGTACGTATGCACGGGGATGAAGAGGTATGCACGAAAAAAAGAACGCAAAAAAAGCTGAGTGGAACCTAAATTTGATTATTGAGCATTGAAATATTAGAAATTATTGGAGATTGTCTTCTTTTATTCTCCTAATATATTTTTAGGAGTTGGAAAACATGGAGTTTTAAGAAGAAAAATTTAGGAAACACTTGGAAATACTCACCTAGCGCCCGGTTTAAGGCTAGTGCGCTGGCACCTCGCCATCTTGCACTGCCTTCTTGTAAACTTCTAATTTCCACTTAATGAAACACGTGCTTAGCACGTTCTCGAAAAAAAAAGTGATCTAGGTGGGGAAGGTTTCTTGTCTCCTCCAAATTCCTTAACCCCCTCAGGTCTTGTTTGTTTCATCCTTAAACTAAGGGAATTAGGGGGATTGAGAGGATTAAGTTCTCTACAAGTCAAAATCCTTCTCAATCATCTCCAATCTCTCTTAATCTTTATGGTTTATGGATCAAACGAACAAGGTGTGATGGGTAGATTATCCCCAAGTTATTGCATTAATAAAAGACACTATGGGTCAAAAAAAAATTCGTGGCCTTGGGTCCTTTTTTTATGAGCTAGAATTCAAGCCCTGAATTTTGAGCAGAAGTTAAATTCTCCTTGCATTTGAACTGCTAATCCAGTTCTATTCGCCTCCCCAATTCTGAGATCCAACCGTAGCCTCAATCATTTTGGCAAAGTAGCATGGGATCACCGATCTGATCCTGATCAAGGCCACATGCGGATGCTGTTGTCCCCATCAGCCCCCGAATTCACGTGCCTTCGAGAGGAAAATAAAAAAAAAATCGTCAGATCACATCACGCCTCTGCCTGGGTCCCTTCCTTCTGGGCCCCGTGCCCTTGTCTCAGTAAATCTGGATTCCTTTCACGCCGCCGCTCTCCCCTCTTTTCTGAGTTCCTTATCTCTTCGTCGTTGTGGCTCCTGCCTGCCTGCCTTGGCGCATCGCGTCGCGGAGAGGGATAGCACAGCGCCTCCCCCGGTCCCTCCATTCCCAGATGTAAGTATTGCCGTGAATCTTGCAAGGTTTGGTTCCGTTGCGGCGATCTTTTTGCTATTTCTGATTTTCTTGCTGATCGGTCGCCTGAATCTTCGCCAAGACCTGAAATTCGAGAGTTGTAGGCAGTTTAGAACACGAGTCAAGTACCAATTACCGAGTACTTTGCAAGATCCTCACCGGGTCCAAGCTAGAATTTTTGCTATTAATCCTGTATAATACAATTTTGTAGTTTTTCCTCCGTTGCTGAATCTTCTCCATTGATTTTTCTATGCAGATATACCGGCCTTTTGCATCTGATTGGGCACTGTATCTGCGCAAGAAAACATAAAGTTGTACAACCAAAAAGTGGGAGTATTTTTCAGAGTTTGGAAGAGGGCTGTTTTGAGGACTCAAATCAAGTCAGAGAAAGGCGAGAAGCTTTAGCAGCGGCAATGCTCTGGTCAATGGACCCGCAGGTGACCGTCCATGGCGACTGGGTGTCGGCCGTGGTGCCGCTGATGAAGCTGCTGTGCCTGACGGTCATCGGCCTGCTCCTCGCCAACCCGCGGGTCCAGGTCGTGCCCAGGGCCACCTTCAAGCTGCTGAGCAAGCTCGTCTTCGCGCTCTTCCTCCCTGCCTCATCTTCGTCCACCTCGGCAAGTCGGTCACCATAGACAACGTCCTGCACTGGTGGTTCATCCCTGTTAACGTCCTCATCAGCACTGCCATCGGGTGCGTTCTTGGGTACATCGTGGCCCTGATCTGCCGCCCACCGCCGCACCTGTTCCGGTTCACGGTGATCATGACCGGGTTTGGCAACACGGGGAACCTCCTGATTGCGATCATCGGGTCGGTCTGCCATACCAATGATCATCCCTTCGGTCCTGGATGCGACACCATGGGTATCGCTTATGTCTCGTTCGCACAGTGGGTTGCGGTTATTCTTGTCTACACTTTGGTCTACCACATGATGGAGCCACCGATGCAGTTCTATGAGATTGTTGGGGAGGGGAATGAGATACAGGAAGAACCCGAGCAGATCAGCAACTACAGTAGGTCTCTTCTTCATGAGGCGGAGTGGCCAGGGATGGTTGACAAAGAAACTGAGCATTCAAAGACACCATTCATTGCAAGAGTTTTCATGAGCATCTCAGGTTCCTCACAGAATACTTTTCCTGATATTGATTTTACTGAAGAAGGAAATTCTGGTGCTGGACCTAGCAGTCCTAAGTCGCTCAGATGTTTGGCAGAGCCAAGAGTGGTCAGGAAGATCAGGGTTGTAGCTGAGAAGACTCCAATTCAGCACGTCCTTCAGCCACCGACAATCGCCTCTTTACTTGCCATCATCATTGGCATGGTTCCTGTCTTGAAAGATTTTGTGTTTGGGGCTGATGCACCACTCTCATTCTTCACCGACAGTTTGGAAATCCTAGCTGCTGCTGTGGTTCCATCAGTGATGTTAATTCTAGGAGGCATGCTTGCGGAAGGCCCAAAGATAATGCCTTGGGCATGAGGACTATCATCGGTATAATTGTGGCCAGGCTTTTGGTTCTCCCATGCATTGGCATTGGTGTTGTGATCCTAGCCGACAAGTTGCATCTACTCGTTGAGCAAAACCATATGTACCGCTTTGTGCTTTCCTCCAGTACTCCACGCCAAGTGCTATCCTGCTTGGAGCAATTGCCAGTCTCAGAGGGTATGGTGTTAAGGAAGCATCCGCCCTTCTATTCTGGCAGCATATTTGTGCGGTGTTCTCTTTTCCCTCTACCTGATTGTATACTTCAAGTTGTTTTCTTTCATCTGAAGACAATGGCCATCCATCCAATTCTGGCATATATACATAGCAATCACCTCGGGGACAGCGGTGGCTCAGAAATAGGATACTAGAAGAATGGGTTTTCAGCCTCGCCTCCTATCAGTCAAAAGTGTTTATAATTTGGTAGTTATTTAAGTTTCAGTTGCGTGTATTGTTTCTTGTTTGTGAACAAGAGATACATTTATTGTCTGTTCATTTTGGTCAATATATTGAAGTGCATTTCATGATACTATTGTTGCATGCAAATCATGACCTGGATAAATTTAGTAGAACAAGATAGACAGATAGTAGTGAATAACATTCAGCCTGTTCGGGAGGCCGTATCGTATCGTGGATTATTTACTGCTGGCTGGTTTGGTGTGAGAGAAAAACACTGTTCTCGACTGGAAATTTACGATCGTTTACGAGCAAGCGAACAGGCTGATTGTTGCCTGATGGTTAATATATGAAGATGATTAGTGTTCAGTCTTCTCGTGGAAGACCCAAACATCAGGCGACCTTGCTATCTGACATCAAGGATGTGATTCATTTGTGTCAATTGACTTTGAGCATTCCTCGTTCGTTCTCCTGGTCCATTGTCCAGAAAAGCAGTCATGTTCTCTAGTCAGACACTGATTCATTTGTGTCAATTGACTTTGAGCATTCAGGTAAGGAGCTTGAAATTTCCATCCATCCATAAGATCAAGTGTCATACAATAATTTCTGGTGAACCATCCTCCTAAACTGTAGATGGATTTCCCAAATTGCTTATGTCACTGCTAAGGTCTTGCTTGGATGTTGTCGGATTCACCTTAATCCACATGCGTTGAAGTGGATTGGGATGAAATTTAGTTCAAGTTCCACTCCAATCCACCCCAACACATGTGGATTGATACGAATCTGATTACATCCAAAGAAGGCCTAAATGCATTCTCTGCTAGAACCAGGCAACCAGCACCTCAAGTTAGTAAGATTTTTAATAGAGGTATAGATACTGTAGAGATGACACATTAAAGAGTGACTGCGGTATACCACCCGACAGTAAATTTCTATCGACCATCAGTATCCGCAAATTTGACAGTTTGCCCAGCTCGTCCGGAATGCCTCCTGTGAGCTGAGCTGATTAAGTGACAAACTGATCCTCTGTGTACGAGTGCAGTTGCTGATGGCCGGCGGGATGCATGGTTCCTGAGACGTTGTTCTGGAAAAGCCGCAAGAACAAGAGGTTCGAGAGGAGGCCCAGCTTTGGATGAATTTCACCAAATATATAAGATTGCGACGAAGGCGAGTATACGCAGGTTCGAACAGTTCGTGACCGCGTCCGGAATCCTGTCGCGCAGCCAGTTGTTGCCCAGATCAAGGACCTCGAGTCTGTGACTCATTGGAGACGACGGCATAGAGTAGAGGAGGCAACAGGTGAGGCCGGAGAGATTGAGTTCCGTAAGCGAAGTCAGGTTGCCAATGGAGGCGGAGATGGAGCCAGACAGGCCGTGTCCGCCACAAGGTCTAGCTGCGTGACACGCCCCGGATGCTTCCTGGAGCATACGACGCCGCTCCACAAATTTTTTTTAAATAATATTTTTTAATGATTAATTACAAATCTAGCATTTTGATAGTAAGATTTGTAAATATAGTATATTGTCGGCCTCTGGTTATTGGTGGGCCGACAGGACCCTGTCGGCGGCCCAGTAGCCGACTAGGTACCCGACCTTGGGCCGATAGGACCCTATCGGCGGCCCAGTAGCCGACTAGGTACCCGACCTTACCACACATGACAGCTCGGTGGACCTATATCGACCCGATAGGCATGTCGGCACCCGGTTAGCCGATAGGACCCTGTCGGCCTTCAGATAGCCGACATGCCCTAAAATATCTATCGGTCATCTTCTCCATCGCGTTCTCTCTCTCGCTAGCTCTTTCTCTCTCGCTCACCGGCTGTCGTGCCCGCCCGCTTCTCCTCCGCTCTTGGCTGGTGGCTTGGGCTACGCCACGTGACCGACACCAATCGTGAGGGCTTGTCACCACCTGCCCCTGTGGCCCACTTCCTCCCACCACCACACACACAACAGCACTGTGGCCCCCAGGAGGCAAGAACTCAGCACGCTTTTTTCTTTCTTTTTTTAGTTAGTTTAGTTAGGTTTTGTTAGTTTAGTTTATTAGCTAGATTTAGTTTTAGGAGTACTTTTAGTTTTAAAGTTAGGTTAACTTTTAGAGTTAGTTATTATTATTTTTTCTGTTTTGGGTTAGTTAGTTTAGTTATTAGTTTTTCTTCTAGGGTAGGGTTAGTTATTAGGTTTTTTCTAGTTTTAGGGTTAGTTTTAGATTAGTTATTAGTTTTGGTTGTAGTTGTAGATTAGGGTTAGTTTTAGGGTACCTCAATTTTGCACGATGCGAACAGGAATATCGACCAATTTAGTCCATTTCAGAATTTACTACGGTAACGGTGAAATTAGATATGGAGACAGCAGGAGAAAACCTTACCGATTTCCAGTTGTTTGACATAGAACTTAATTCGCCACCAGATTATAGCTGGAAACAAGTTTTAGCCTGGCTACACGAGCACTTAGGTGTTCCGCCCACCAGCACCATTTCAGGATTAGTATGGTGGTGCCTAAAAAGCGAGAGAATGGATGGAGGTGGAAGCTATACGAGGCCCTTGTGTCTAAGGCTTTGGAGTGTCGTTATGCCAACATCATGCTTGTTGAGTTCTTGGATGGTGCCATGCAGGGTGAGAGTAGCAACACAAGTGTAGCAGAGGAGAACTTAGAGTCGGCAATTGTTGAGCAGACCTATGTTTACAATCATCAAGCGGTTGAGAACACAACAGAGGGTGGAGAAGTGGAAGGGTATGGTCCGTCCATGGAAGTTGACCTGGGTGAGGAGGATGAAAGAATCGTCGAAAAGATGGAGGCTGACGATGTAGAGCACGTCGCCTTCGTGGATGAATTTGCTGGCAGGAGGTTTGACGATGAGACTGACATCCTTGAGGACTAGGTTCACATAGCACCTGATGCCATGACGGTCGATGATGGCCATCCTTCTTCGTGGGAGAACTCAAGGATTGAGGTCAGACAAGGGCAGATGTTTCATGACAAGGTTCATCTGCAACACGTTGTTCGGTGATGGGCTTTTTCTGAAAAGAAGTAGTTTATGGTCGTCATTTCTAACCCCATGATGTGGGACGTTAAGTGTGTCACCCCGGGTTGTACTTGGCGTGTTCATGGTCATATGCCACATACCGAGAGCAACTTCATAGCCACTATTGTCGAACCACACACTTGCTTGCTGCAATCTTCGCTGAACAAGCTTAGGAACATGACGGCGACTTTCGTTGCAAATGAAATGTACAGTGAGGTTGTTGAAAAAGTTGGCATGTCTTCTTTTCAGATAATGCTTGCTATTCAGAATAGATTTGGGTATGAGATTTCCTATGACATGGCTTGGAGAGCTAAACACTTGGCCTTGGAAAACATGCCACGTATAAGGACTCACATCATCATGTGCCATCTCTTCTAGAAACCATTCAATCGAGAAATCCTAGCACTATAATTGATATTGAAGACTACATAAACGAGAAGGGAGACCGTGTGCTTAAACAAGATTTTTGGTCTTTCGGTTGCATGATACAGGCCTTCAAGCCTCCCTGTAGGTGAGGTGACTGTCACTCTACAGGACATCGCCATGCTCTTCGGTCTACCACTCGACGGTGCCCCTATCGGCCCTGTTGTCGTGCTGGTGGACTGGGAGGACCAGCTCTTGCACCATTTCAAGGGTGTCTTGCAGCCGGCGAACGAAGAGGTTGAGCAGTTCGGCTTCCACGACCGCCACGGGCCTCCGAAGGCTTGGTTGTCTCAGTTCCATGTGGAGAAGCTCACGGAGGATGAGGACGACTGGAGGGTGATGCGACACTTGGAGGCGTACCTGCTTTGGCTGTTTGGCTGGGTACTCTTCACTAGTTCTCACCACGACACCGTCGACAGGCACTTCGTCTACTACGCGGCGTAGATAGCGTACACACCACTTGAGGTGATTCCCCAGTACAGTTGGGGTTCTGTAGTGCTAGTAGCTACGTACCGGGCTCTGTGTGACGCTTGCACTTGGAGGACTTTGACGGGTACGTTGGCTAGTTCACCTTTGCTGCTGATGTTGTGGTCGTTCGAGCGGTTCGATATTGGGAGGCCGACCTTGTCGTCGTACGATCCGTACGACGATGAGATGTACGTTTTCGACCAGCTTGGTGAGGCCGATGAGCTCGACACCCGCATGATGGGCACACTCTGGTTGTCCCATGATGTAAGTATCTCGTCTCTACTATTTTTATTACATGTTAGTATTATGCTTCGAATCTCCATCAACTTTGTTGTTCTTTGGATCCAAGGTGGGCAACAAGCACGGGTAGAGGCACGTACAATGCGTACATCGCTGTGGGACCAGCTCATAGCTGATAGGGTTTGGTGGACCCCGTACACAGAAGTTGACATACAATCCTGTGCTCGGCGTGGCTTGTCGGAGTTGTGCTACCGTGACCAGGAGCTGTGGTGCACGAGGAAAAGACTAGTGTTTGGCATCTTCGTCGAGCCATACTGTCCAGAGTGGGTGTCACGTCAGTTTGGGCGTGCACAGGTCTTCCCCCTTCCCTGACTTTAGCTTGACGGGTCCCACAGGTAAGCCTTGTTGCACTAAGCGTTCATCTAGATGTTGTCATAGTATTATTCATT